GATGGATCGTTTCCTCCTGTGTGATTTACTGTCTCTGAAAACCCTCTGGAAGGTCAGCTATGAGTTAGTTCTGACTCACAGGCACACAACAGTAACAACGGTGATAGATGTAAGATTATACGAGTATTACCTTGTTCTTTGTGTGCTTGACAAATGTCTTTTCACTTATCCTAATATGTTCTGCAGTCTTCCTTTCATTCTCTATCTTTGATTTTTCTCATTTTGTATATCCTTTTACGTCTGGGGTTTCTTTGTAAATGATGCCTCAAAATACCTTGTATAGAGCTCTCGTACCTTTGATTACTTAAAAAAAATTAGTTCACTCAGACAGGTCTTTCTTTTCTTTTTTTCTGGAGGGTGTTTTGTTTTGCTTTTTGGAGTATTTCTATCCAGGCAGCATGCATTACCAACAGGCACACATTCATTTACCTCGGAACAATGTAGCTGTGACTTTTCTGCTTTAGCTCAAGCAGTTCTCACTGTGCCTCTTGAAATCGGCACATAATTTTCTTGGTTGGATATCACTAGTGTCTTTCATTTTCTGCCTTCTTTATGTTCAAACTAGAATCTAATGTAGCAAATCTAACTGCTGAACGGATAACAATGCTTAGGTGCCATCCACCTTTGTGTCTGCAGACTCATATGGTTTCCTGCTAAAATTAAGTCTCAGTTCTAATCATTTATACGAGAGTCTCAGGGGTCATCTTCAAACACTACTAGTTCTGGATATCTAAGTGGCAGTGAAGTACTCCTCAGGCAAGCTATTAGGACAGACAGCCCCTATGGAGAGAGACAGGGGAGCAGCCGACTGGCTCTGTGGAATGACAATGAGAGAGCTACATGTGGAACGTTTCCCTAAACACTTCTAGTGTCCGTTTTGAAAATTTCAAATGAAGTAAATATGATTTCTTTTATATTTTCACTCTTTCAAAAGAGAAAACACTATAAATAAAATATTGTTGACAGTGTAAGAATTTTTGAGACAAAAATGTTTTTATGTACCGTAGAGTCATAACCGAAACATAGCTGATCCTCCAGTGGTTTGTTCGAGGCTGTAACTCGCACACGGGGAGACGGCTCGTGTTTCTCCCACCCAGCAGCTGGTGGATTTGAACTACCTGCCTTTGAGTTCGCAGCACAACTTCTTACCCACTACGCCACCAAACCAAGCCTAAAATGATGAATAAGTTAGTGTAAACAGATTGTGAGACACTGGTGTTTTAGTGGTGGAATCCTGTCTGTGTAGAAGATGCAAGTGCGATTCCAGGTAGCAACTTATCTATTAGTGAGAACCTACATGTTGCTGTGATGTTGAACAGGATTCAGTTATCAGAAAGAGCAGACTAAAAAGAATGGCCTGATGACCTGCTTCCTAAATCAACCAGTTAAAACCCCATCAAGAACAATGGCCTGATGCCCACCTCACCATGGCCATTGACTCAGGACTGAGAAGGATTCTCCCATTATTCACCAGGTCACTGTGAGCCAGAGAGAGTAATAATGACAGTTAATCAAAACAGTAACATCTAAAAACTAGTTTTATTATTTCTAAAGGCGTTCAAGACCCACTGTGTTCATGGCATTTTGATGATAGCAAGATAACAATACTATCAAGATGATGCCTCCTGCTTTTAAGGGAAATATAATTTTGTGAGATTGGGAAGTATCAGTTGACATGTATGATCATATATATCATTCATGCAGTAGCACTGGGTGGATTTGGAAAAGTTAACATGACTGTAGGACCATAATAGTTCTCAATATTGGTAAAAAAATAGAATCTCTGGCTGAGATATCGAAAATTCTAATGCACAAATCAGAATGCACCTTAGACCAATTCTACCTTATTCTTTAGTTGTAGGTGGTTTGTGAGTATTTCTCTCTCTCTCTCTCTGTGTGTGTGTGTGTGTGTTTTAGATGCTACCAAGTCAGCTCCAACTCATATGCAAAATAGAACAAAACTCTGTCTGGTCCTGTACCGCCCTAGCAGTGCCTGTGATGGTTAAGGCCATTGATGCAGTCACTACTTCAATCCATCTCTTTGATGGTCTTCCTCTATTTCACTGATCCTTTACTTTTCCAAACATGATATCACCCTCTAGGGTTTATCCTGCTGCCCCAGAAATAAGCCAAAATATGTGAGACAAAGTCTCAACACCCTTGCGTCTCAAGAGCTCTGTAGCTTCAGTACTCGTTCTTTTTTAATTCCATGGCATATTCAGTGTTCTTTGCCAGTATCCCATTTGAAAGACATCAATTCTTGTTCCACGGCCTTGTTCACTGTGTAACTTCGCATGCCCACAGAGCAACTGCCAATACAAAGGCAGTTTCAGGCAAACTTTCATCTTTAGAGTGACACTCTTGGTCTTTGGCAGTCAATTTATCTTTTGGTTTCTTGACTTCTCCTTACATGAGAGTTGAGTGTAGATTCCAGTAAAATAAAATCATTGACAACTCTAATCACTATTCATCATGATGATGTTTCTGGGTCCAGAGGATTTTTGTTTTCTTGATGTTTCTTGAGATATAATCCACATTGTAAATGATTCTCATAGTTAAATAATTCTGTTTCTTGGTGTAGATTACAAAAAAAAAAATCAAAGAAGGACTGGGTCAGCTGTGCTATCCAGTTATGTAACCCCAATGTCTGCCATCTTACACAGAACATTTGCCAACAGTATTCATCAAACAGATGGATGAAATATCATATAACCTATGGAATTTCTCCCAATTACATGTAAGCAAATTAAGTTGTTCCATTTTTAATATTTTCTCAGATGCATTTTTTGTCCTTTAATTTTGCATTATATATTCGTGCAATTACCTCTTATTACAATCAACATGTTCAAATGTAAATTAATCCATAGAGGTATAGGCAGACACCAGCCTGAACTCCTAGAAGACAGAGATTTGGCCTTATTTACGGCTTACAAGTGCAAGTAGTTCACTTGGACATTTTGTGTAATGGTAATTCCTGAGTGTTTTCTGAATTAAGCTTACCATGTGGTAATTTGTTTAAAATGTCTGACTTTATATTTAGTTGCATTTGCATGACAATCAATTATTAAATACTAAATTAACATGATAGGAATTTACTTCAGGTATTCCAAGGAATAAATACACAACAAGAAATGCTAGTCTGTATGCTCTATATTGCTGGTGGAAGATTCAGAAAAAAAAAAGAAAAAATGTTTAATATGCTACCTGAAATGCCAGGGCCATTGTTTAGCATTGTATGTTCAGAAGCTCACTTGATTTCCCTGTGGATATCTTCCTAAATGAAAAGCAGGTTAGGATTGAAGAAGCATATGTTGTTGTTATGTGCTATCAAGTTGCCTGTGACTCATATGTATAACAGCTCTAAACCTGGCTCTATCCTGAGGCAATCTCTGACACACCTACTCCCATTACTCCAGTCACTGAATCAGTCCATCTCACCAAGGGTCTTCTTCACTTGCGCTGTCCCTCTACCATCCCAAGCATAATGTCCCTCTCCAAGGACTGGTCCCTCCTTGGCACATGCTCAAAGTATGTAAGATGGAGCTTCAGAATCCTTGCCTCCAAGGAGCAGCCTGACTCCACACTCTCCAGGAGGAACCAGTTTGTTGTCAGAGCAGTCCATACTCTTCTCTAGCCCCACAGCTCAAAGGTACCAATTCTCCTTCTATTATCCCCAGCCACTGCCCTGCTTTCTGACGTATAGCACATAATTGCAAAGACAATGGCCTCGTTCAAGTGCAGCTTAGTCTCCATACTGATATAATTGTTATTTAGTACTCTGGAGAGGTCCCTGACAACAGACTATCCCAATGCAATTAATCTTTTTATTTCCTGGCTGCAGGTACCAAGAGTGTTGATTGTGGACCCACGCACCAGGCAGTGCGAATCTGCAGCTTGTGTCTTGCTGTCAGATATTTTTCCCATTTTGGGATCTATATAACCTAACAACAGAGGATTTATTTTAATCTCATGGCTTGAGAAAGTTCTTTTAAAAATCTGAAATGAACTCCATAATCACTACAAACCTTCCAGTTTTCAGTAATCTTTGTCCTTTAAAGCTTATAGATAATCAGACTGGATTTCTAAATGATAAAGCAAGTTCTCTGTGTATTCATGATTCTGGCCACAAGATGGCGAACTTTATGCTATTTTCCTCATTCATTAAAAGAACTTTACTCTTCAAGCTTCGGCAATTTTAAAATTCAATGCCTAAGAAATCTAACCAAAAAAGTGCAACATAATTTTCAAATTTTTAATTTAAAAATGTTTTAAATTATCAAACGGAAGATGCTTCCTGTATGTGGGGACATGAATTTGAACTGTTGTTACCCACATATGCAAAAACCTCAGGATGAGATAAAAGAGTGGCACCTCTGGAAATGTTACTAACTTTGAGAGATGAGGATAGTTCTAGAAAGGCTTCAGGCCTTTTCTTCATAGGGTTGCTATGAATTGTGCTCAACTTGCTGGCAGTCAACAACACCATCACCACCACCACCACAGACATTTAAATTTGATTTTCTTTTTTAAGATTATTAATAATTTCTAACTTACTGTGAAGTAAAGTGTGACAATTGTCTTCCAAAAAGCCTTGGAAATCCTGTTGGACAGATCTGTAATTCTGACCCATAGGGTCACCATAGGCTGGAACTGACTTACTGCGTTTGGTCTTCTATTCCATATATAATCAAAATCATGCTTTTTTCATGTCACAAATAAATAAAACTTTCATCATAAGAGTTTCCAGAATAAAGCTATCAGACTATACCATCATTCTGAAATGTTATGCCTTGTTACAATCCTCAGGTATTCCAGACTTTCATGTGCTGTAGGGTTCTAGGATTTGAGGTGAGGTATAAATATGAGTCAACGTTTATATATTTCATACAGTAACAAGGGAATTGGGAAGAGCAAGTCTTGCTTTTCAGAAATTTATTTCCCTTTAAGTTACTTTACATTATTTCTCTACTTTATGAAGGCTCATGGCTTTGTTTACTTACCCTGGTCAGAAGCTCATTCATTTCTGTCACAAGGGTATTCAGATCGCCTTCTGCCAACTGAATGAGCCTCTCTGGAGCCCGCTGAGGTGAGAGCAAGTGCTGAAAAACATACCGTTCCACAGACATTTCAGTAAATGGCCTCGCAGTGATCACAGGGCTGAACATTTAAAAGAATACATTATTCCTTTATCTACAGAGAATTTAACCTTCTCATCTTTAAAGAAAAGAGATCATAGCAATCAGATCTATACAGTCTTAGGGGTATATGGTAAACACACAAACAGGATACACAAACAAGTAACATGAATCACTATTGAAAATTACCTATTGAAAATGACCCCAATAATTGTGCTTTTTGAGTTTTGTATTGATTTTGTCAATTATTAGATTAGCTCTAGGGAAGAGCTGTTATGCTTTTTAAATTTCTTTGGATGAGAAAATATTGCTTGAAGAGGGTTAAGGCACACATACAGTGAGGGGCTACTCAAGAGTAACTTCTCTGTTGGCTTCTTTAAGCCTCCCACTCAGACCAACAGATACTCAGTTTGCAGGTAACAAAGAAGAAAGCAGCCCCTGACCTGGATCCCTGGCCAGGCCCTATGTACCAGCCCTGGCCTCAGAGTGGGAGGAGCTCACCAGCCCTCACTGCTGGGTCATACTCTTCTGTTGCAGGTAACCAATCTCACAAAATGCCAACCTTAGATAAAGTCATTCTGTGACAGTGATGGATGAAACAAAAAGCAGCACTGCAATCTGTCTAAAACACCACAAAAACACACCCTCCTCTTATTTCCCGGCTGATGTGAGTGTCCACTGCTCCCATACCAATCACAGCCTTGATTGTCCTCTGTTCTTGTTACCTTTAAACACAATTATTCGGGATACACAATAATAGAACTGCATTAACTTCCTTAAAGACAAAACAAAAACAAACCCAAAACCAAAATCCACTTCCTTGAGGCCTGCCCCAAATTGCTCAGTTAAGGCCCAAATACTCTTAAGATATGAACCTTAACACTCTCTAACTGAGAGAACCACTGTTCTGTGTCACGCAATGTTTTTGTTGCAATGAGTTCATGAGCCCTACTTGTTGGGATTTGGTTGAAACTTGCTGGGATATGGTTGAAATCTGAGGAGCAACGATGCAGGTTAAAGAACCCAGCTGTAAACAGAGAAGTTCTTTCAGTTACCATATGGGATCTTAACTATGCAGATATTCAATGGATTGGTAAAATTTAAAGAAGAAATCTTAGAATTTTGGCAGAACCCAAGATACTTGTGATCAGTGTTCAGCCTGTGACAATCAGCCAGCTGACTGTTCGCTTAGAAGCTGCCCGCTGTCCAGACCCCCTCACCTCCTCCATAGAGCTTCCATCATCATCCTGTCCTTAAATGCCACTTATTTTTAAGTCATTCTAGCTATCTGAAACAGTTGTTTTTCTAATTTTTTTTTTCATTTCTTTCCATATAAAAGAAAATCAGTGGTCTGCATTTTCTTTATTCAGACTCTTCGCCACCCTGAATACTGGGCCAACAAGGTAAACTCCCATTCTCCTGTCTGGCTTTCTAAGTTGTCCTTCACATCACCCTGCTTTCCTCCATGTTCACTCTTATCTTTCACAGCAGACCTTAATTCTAATGTCTGCCGGACAGGCCTGGCCAATTCCTGCCTGTGCCCCTGCTCTCCTGGCCTTGGCCAGCATCGTCAGTGGGACAGTCTGTAAGGGCTGGGCTGGAGGTCAGGGACATCTCATCACGTGCTGCACGTGCTGGCTGTGTCATCCCAGGCAGGCTGTTGCCTTCTCCCAAGCCTTGAAAAGTCACTTGTACTCCCACTAATCACAGAGTTGAATGGCCTTCTGTAAATTTTACTTCTACACTTAGTAGTCTTGTGACCTTGTGATTTACTTGAAAGTGTTCTGTGCCTCAGGTTTTTTTCCCCTGAAATAGGAAAAATAAGACAGTAAACCTGTTATTTCTGCAGATTCTGTCATTCTGACTATATGGGTTTCTGTGAGCTTGACATACATGGATTCTTGTGAGGCTTTACTTCCATGCTTAGCACAGAGGAAGTGTTGTATCATTGCTGGCCTTCGGTGGAAGTCAAGATTAAATAACAGATTCTCCAGAACACAGCCTGCCAATTCCTGATGAATGAACCACCGGATCCTTCCTCTAGTCCTCGTAAATTGTTCCTTTTCTGAGATACACAGCCTGGTTTCTCTGAGTCTTACTGATTGCTCTGGTCTGGGAATCCCACTGGGCTTCAAATGTTGCTCAAGCACATGGTAATTATCTATGCATTTCAGCTAACTGCTTGATTATTGTTTCATAAAGCCATTCTTTTAACATGCACTCCAAGCTTATATCAAATGGCGGTGCTTATTTCACAGGGATCATGATACCACTAGGGAACCAAGTGCAGTGATCTGGGAATTCTTTCATTAGTTTTTCTAGAAATACTTCATCACAGACTGGTAGCCTATAAGTAACCACGTCACATCTATTTTTCATCAGAGGAAATGGATCCAATTTCCTCAACTTTTCTCTCTCTATTCCATTAACTACTCATAGTTTTATGAATATTTTAGAGTAGAACTTCTCAAAGTAGCCTGCTTAAAAATTACTTTCAAAGGTCTACTAGTTGTCTAATATTACATTTTAATCATGCATTTGCATGCTAATAATAACCTGAAATAAGCACTTCTGGAACCCTGCCTGGGAACCTTGGAGATAAATATCGTCACCTGAACTCCGTGTCAACATGTGCGTGTATGTTTTATCACACTGCATACTGACTGTGGACATAAACCATGGGAACATGTCAAGTGAAGTCAAATATCATTCCAGGACCCCTTGCTAAATGCACTCCTGTTCAGATCGTGGGAAGGTAGAGAACTGAGGTACCCACGGCAGCGCTGACACAGACCTTGTGTGGAAATAGTATCACATTCCTGAAGTAAGCAGCAATTTACTTTCAGGGAAAAAAAAATCCCCAAGTTATTTTATATGAATGTTTTTAATTTAAATTTTATTGGTTTTGTGGGTATTTTTAAAGATTAATCTGTTTGATTTTATAAGAGCTATAAGTATGAGAAGTTCCTGCCTGATTTTATGTTTGCACATATTTACGTAACATAATAAAATGAATTTAGGTCAACACTAGGGGGTGCATATGGCTCTCTTCCCTTAGCAGCAGACTGTATATTACAGCTCTCAACTTTGGAGAACACCCGATTAGAAAGTTTCTGAAATTTCCTAAGTGCTGCTTCCTCAGATTTCAAGCAGTGAATGAAATATTTACCCATTATGGCCAATGCAGCTTGGAGAGCATTGCCATTCAGTCCCTGGCCCCTGCTGTTACTGCATCAACCTACCTTCAGCTCTTGAGTCCTATTTTCGAGGCCGTACAGCATTTTATAGGGAGCAGGCAGCGGGCCAGTGAGGTTGATGCTCACGGCCATCTGCTCTAGGCGAGCCAAGTCACCAAGAAGAAGGCCCGTGCATTCATCGCCACAGACTGTGAAAAGGAAACGACAAAGAATATTTACTTCTGCGAAACATCCTGGGCAGCTGCTCAAAGATGCCAGCCATGAAATATTTTATGAGCCATGCACAGTTTTCTGAAAGATGCTGACCATCTCTGATAATTAATACAACTGAATGGATGACTAATGGGAAAAAATATAGAGAACAACAGAAAAGTAGATAAATCCTTTATCTGGAACATGTAATTGTTGTTGTGTAGCAACCCTATAAATAATAGCTCTGAATAGCTGCCTCTATTGCCACAGTCACTGTGTAAATCCATCTCATCCAGGGCCTTTCTCTTCTGCCCTGACCCTCTACCTTCCCAAGCATGATGTTCTTCTCCAAGGACTTGACCCTTCTGGCAGCATTCCCAAAGAAGATGAGATGGAGATTCAAAGTAGAGTTGATGATATAAACCGGGAAATAGGAGAAGACATTGGCTTGCAGGGAAAGACTGTATTGTTTTAGAGTTAGGGGAAAGCTAAAGCCTTCTGCCATTGAGACAATTCTTACAAGGGTTCAATGGGACAGAGCACAACTAGGTTTCTGTAAATAGTTCACGCAAACAAACTGTCTTTTTTCTCTTTGGAGAATATAGTGAGTTTGAATAATTGTCATCTTGCTTAATGATTCAATGTCATGGCATTAGTAAGAATTCCTTATTAAGTTAGTTGCTGTTGTTAGGGGTTATTAGGAGAGAGGGAATACCTAAAATATAGATTATAAATGCTTTTCAGGAATAACCAAGAGGAAACTAATACATAGTGAAACAAATTATTTTTTCAAGGTCTCAAACTGTGTACACATACGTGCATTGCTGTGATGGATTACACTACAGAATATCTGTGACAATATGATCTTCACATACTTTGTGTGCAAAACCTATATTTGGACCAGGAGCAAGTAATTAGAAAACAGCAAGTAAATACTGCATGGTTCAAAATCAAGAAAGGTGTACTCCAGGGATCCATTCTATCTCCATTCCTTTTCAATTTCTATGTGGAACAGATTGTCTTGGAGGCTGGGATCTATGGGAAGGAATGTGGCATCAAGATAAGAGAAGACTCATCAACAATCTATGTTATGCAAACGACACAATATTGCTTGCTGAAACTGAGGAGGACATAAGGCATTTGCTGCTGAAGTTCAAGGACTACAGCCTTCAATATGGATTAAAGCTCAACATTAAGAAAATTAAAATTCTCACCACTGGATTAATAGACAGTATCAAGATAGAGAAGAGATTAAGATTGTGTACACAATCAACACACTTGGTACCAGAAGCCAGGAAATTAAAAAAAATTTCTTTGGAAATATCTGCTGTCAATAACTTCTCCAGAGTACTGAAGAGAAAAGAGGTTAGTCCAGAGACTAATATGCACCTGATCTGGGCCCTGGTCTTTGCAATACTTACTGTGTATCAGAGAGATGAACAATGACTAAGATTGATAGAAGAAAAATTTATGCTTTGGAGTTGTGGTACAGAATTACTGATGCCTTTGAATTGTGGTTCTGGAGATGACTATTGAATATATCATGGACTACCAGGAGAACACACTGTTTCATCCAGGAGAGGGTGAAACCAGGAAGCTCCTTGGAGGCAAGGGTTTGAAGCTCTCTCTGATATACTTTGGGCATGTTGCAAGGAGGGACTAGCCCTTTTAGAGGGACATTTTGCTTGGGGTGAGGGGCAGTGCAAGAGAGGAAGACCCTCGATGAGATGGACTGACTCAGTAACCGGGGTAATGGGGGTAGGTGAATCAGAGAAAAGGGACTTGGCTCAGGTTAGTGTTCAGAGCTGTTGTAGATATGATCTCTATGGTCTCTCTCAAGTAACTCAGTGGTGCAATGACACCAACAACATCATGTATCGCATACTCAACATTACGTGCTTTTTTGGCTTAACATCTCTAGAACAGAATTCTATTTTAAAATTACAAAATTAAAAGTTTCTTTTTTTATTTAAATTATTCTTCCTCATGCTGATAATTACTTATTTGCTCACTTTCTTCCTTATTTGTCAATGCTTTCTCTGGTGTTTTCAGTACCTTAGCTTGCTGTGGGATTAGATGTAGTCCCCAAAGTCCCTTCTGTGATGAGTAACCTAACCAAGTCTTGAGGCCAACTAATTCTAAGGGCTAGGAAAAAATTCATTGCTTTAGTCACCAAGATTCCTAATATTCTACCTATAATTTTTCCAGTGATAAGGCGACTAAGTTATTCTAATTTGGTGGAGAGAGTCTAAATGCTGAAAGGGCTTATTGGCAGAGTTCATGGAGAAGACAATGGAGTTCTCTTCATGATCCAATTAAAATCTCACAAACAGAAATGCAAACTTCTAAAAGGGTAATGTGGAGCTCTGGTGGTCTAGTGGCAAGAAGCCGCACTGTAATCCTGAAAGTGGGTAGTTCAAATCTACCAGATGCTCTGCTGGAAAAGGAGAAGCAAACTCCTCCTTTGGCAGTTGGCTCCAATTCAATGGTACACCAAATTAAAAAAGAAATAAATATATTTTTTAAATAAAATGGGAATATATTGTTATTTTGAGGATTTAAAATATCTGCTTTTGTACTTTTCCGTTTTGCATCACAGCCAATCCATTCTATCTTTTCCAGGCATAGAACATGATCCATTACATGTACACATCTGTGTTTACAGCCTTGATTCCTATCTCACACACTGCAGACACAGCTGTGAGACCTCCATGTATGTTAGGAGAGAGGAAAATACCTGACATGGAAAGTACTGATACTGGAGCAGCTTTGGATCATGGCCGAAACTGGCAAGAATTCAATTACCTCTCTAAATAGCATTCCCCCAAGCTGCCTAATGGAGAGAAAACTATTAAGTAAAGCTTGTAAACAAAGACAAGTACTACAGAAGGGATATATATATATATCAGCAGTTAGAGGTGAGTTACATTATCCCTTCACAGGGATTAAATGTCCCAGCAGGGCTTTTTTTATAAATCAGTTCTTTGCAGGTGACACCTGCAACTGTAGAGCATCACCTGAAAGGGCTTTGCTAGCTCCAGATGCGTTAGGAATGCCAGGGGCCCAGTGAAATAAAGAGGCTTTGGGGGTAGAAACTGAAGTCTGTAACAAGGAGCTTCTTTTTCTAATTCCATTGTGAGAGTATCTGCTCTGAATGCAAAGGAAGTCAAAAAGTAAGAGAGCGTTGTGACTATTCCTTCTTTAATTCTCATATCCTTAGTTTCATTTCAGTGCTTGTTCTCAAGCTTCAGTATCTGTATTTACAGGAAACAATTGTAGAAAATACACCATAGAACACAACTAGGTACCAAATTGACTATGTCTAAATACCAGGTTCTCTAATCTGGTTCAAATTTCAGCAGGCATCAGAATCACCTGGAAGATTTTTGTTAAATCACAGCCTCAGAGTGGAAGTCCAAAGCAAGCTTTGAGAATCTGGGTTTCTATCAACGTCCAGGCTTGCAATGACAGTGCTGGTTTGAAGACCAACCATTGAGTAGCAACTCAGCAAAGAATATTGTCATCCTCTGCAGTATCTTTAGCCTTAGGCTGGATTTATTAACTCAGAATCTGCATTTCAACTTTGGTGAGTTGCTCCAGCTGCACCCTGTCCAAGATATATCTATACATTCTTTTGGCCGTCCATGGGATGTTTATTGCTATTCTCCAATACCACAGCTCAAAGGTGTCAATTCTTTTTCTGTTTAGGCCTCTGAAGTTACAAATTCCTTTAAGATTCTAAGTGCAATCAGGTTGAAAGTCATTGGTCTAGAACAGTGCTTTTCAAATGTCAGTGGATTTTAAAGCTGGAGTGCTTTTTGGAGGCAAGAATGAAGAGGCTTCTCCTCACATGCTTTAGGCATGTTGATTGAAAGGGCTATTCCCTGGAGAAGAATGGGATTCTGGGAAGGCTGGAGGGTTGGCAAAGGAGAGGAAGAACCTCAACTAAGTGGATTGACATGGTCGCTGCTGCAATGGTTTATTGTGTGATAGAAGTGTGAGGATGGTACAGGATAGAACAAGGTTCAGATCTCTTGGTCATGGGGTTGCTATGAGTCATGGCACTTAACAAATAACCACCATCTATATTCAAGATGCAATAGCATCAACTTATTGATAACAGTAGGGCTAGACTTTGGGTTCTGGCAATTTCCAAGGAGTATCATTTCTGCAGTTTTTCCTTTATTTTGCAAGAAGAAATCAGGAACGAGAGTGCAGAACTAAATAGTGTACTACAGAGTCCATAGTTGAGTTACACTGCCAAGAAGCATGATGAATATTGATTTTTCTCTCATTTATTCTACCCCTTGCCCATCTGTTCTGGCTGTTCATCTTCAGTTGCTGGAGTGAAGATATATTTAATTGCTCTTTCAAAGACTCATAGATCCTGTTTTATATCTCTGTGTCCAAAGGTCTATCATTATTCCATGTCTCTGTATTTGCTTTTTTTGGGAAACAAGTATAAGCACATTTCCATAAGTGAAAGGTAAGTTTTATAGCATGCTCCAAGTAATATACTCGCATCTGTTTAAATGGGTCAGAAAGACTTATGAATATGACAGCCAGGGGAGTATTTTAAAGCCTCTGGTGAAGCCTAGTTCATGCAGTTATAAGATAAACATGTGGGGGAAATATGCCCTTTACTTAATGATTTGCTATTTTATTCTGACATAAAATATTTTACTCACACCAGAAGTTACATTTACGTTTATTGCCCTCAAAAATTCTGGTAACAAAAATTCATTGGAAATAGGATACAAATTAAGATGAAATTTAATTCACTACAAGAGAGGAAAAAGGGGATCCCTAATGACACTGTGGTTAAATAAAGCTTAAATACTTGATACTAACTGAAAAATCAACTATTAAAACCCACCAACTGTCCCATGTGAGAAAGATGTGGAAGTTTGCTACCATAAAGATTTGCAGCCTTGAAAGGCTACAGGGTAGTTCTCTGTTCTTACAGGGTAAGATATAAGGAATATATAAATTATAT